AAAAAGTAAAAACAGAGGAAGAAAGAAAGAAAGACAGACAGACAGAAAGAAAGAAAGAAAGAAAGAAAGAAAGAAAGAAAGAAAGAAAGAAAGAAAGACAGAAAGAAAGAAAGAAAGAAAGAAAGAAAGAGAAAATCTGGCCTGTGGTGTTGAATTTTCAGGAGTGGTCTCCAAAGGCAACCCCATGTAAAGCAGTAGTCAAGCTGAGAGGGGTTGACCAGGGCCCTGGAGGAGCCCTCTTTTTCCCTTTTCTAAGGAGAGAAGACATTTCCCAGTAGTTTCTTGGGAGGGCGGAGTGGGAGAGGGCTTTATTACGCGCGAATCCCGCAGCATCGATCTTCTTCTTTTCTTTGTTCTTCGTTCTGTCTCTTTTTTCCCTTTCCTTTTCAAAAGTGGTTTTAGCATTCTGACCATCCTTCTTTCTCTTGGGCTGCGATTGAGACCAGAGCTTGGAGAAGGCTTTGAGAAACCGAAGTCTTATCAGACTGCGCCCTCTAGAGGAAAACCAGGGAAGGCAAGTTGGGCTCCTCTCGAAATATTTTGCTTCTGGGTTGGGGGATGATGGTCTTTGTGGGCCCGTGTGGGAAATGGGGAATCCAGGCTGCCTTGCAGTGACGGATATTTAGGAACGAACCAAGGTCACAGGAGATGGAAAGGGTTTCTATCTCTTTTTTCCACCCAGGGCCCCCGTGGGAGATGCTGGCACTTTTTGCAGAATTTACAGAATAACAGAGTGGGAAGGGGCCTTGGAGGTCTTCTAGTCCAACCCCCTGTTGAAGCAGGAAACCCTATAATGTTTCAGACAAATGGGCTGACTTTGGGGTAATGTAAAATAAAATGTGCTTTAAGTTTCAGAGCAAAGCTCCCTCCTTTCTTTTTTCTTCCTTTCTTCCATCTTCCTCCCTCCTTCCTTCCTTCTTTTTTCTTCCTCTTTTTTCCTTGATTTCTTCCTCTTTTTCTTCCTTCCTTCCTTCCTCTTTTTCTTCCTTCCTTCCTTTTCCTTTTCCCCCTATTTTCCTCCCTCCCTCTCTCCTTCCTCCCTCCCTCTTCCTTTCTTCCTCTTTTTCTTCCTTTCTTCCTCCCTCCCTCCTTCCTTCCCTCCTTTGTCCTTTTTCTTTTGTTTCTTCCTTCCTTTATTCCTCCTTCCTGCTCTCCTCCCTTCCCCCCTCCCTCTCTCTCTTCTCTTTCTTTCCTCTCCCTTTCACTAACAATTATGAAATCACACACAAACACACACACACACACACACACACACACAAAATCCCGACTTCACGAACAGATAACAGCTGCAGGTGAAAAGTCCTTTTCAAAGCTGTCATCATGATAAAACATCCCAATTTCACTTGAAGCTTTTACTTCCATTTGGGTTCATGTTGTTTTAACCAAAAAATATTAAAAACAAATCTTCCCCGACATTTTCATCATCGGCTTAATCGCGCGGATCAAATGGTTTTTATAGCTTGGCATTCCGGAAATATGCATTCTAAAAAGGCAAGGAGGGGGAAGGAGCCGAGAAAAACCTTAATTTTACAATCATAGCCTGGCTGCTTAAAGTGGCCTTGATAAAATTATAACAGCCAAGGTGAAGGTAAAGGTTCCCCTGGCAGATGCCTGCTAGTCGTTCCCGACTCTAGGGGGCGGTGCTCATCTCCGTTTCAAAGCCGAAGAGCCAGCGCTGTCCGAAGACGTCTCCATGGTCATGTGGCCGGCATGACTCAACGCCGAAGGCGCACGGAACGCTGTTCCCTTCCCACCAAAGGTGGTTCCTATTTTTCTACTTGCATTTCTTACGTGCTTTCGAGTTGCTAAATTGGCAGNAAGAGCCATCCCACCCCTTGCATCTGCTTAAAGAAAACCGAAGCCCGAGGAAGTCAAGGCTGAAGGAAGGAGCCCACCTTTTCAAACCTCTTAACCTTGCCTAACTCTCCACTGTAGACAAGCGAAGGCTACGAGGTCCTGGCTGCCTTGCGACCACCCAAGCAGATTCCCCCGGTGCCTCGTCTACCAGGGGACGGTCGCTAAGTTGAAAGCCTTCCTGGGGAGCTTTGAGCCTCCTTGAAAGGTTCAAGACAGGTTGGCCCCTCCGCCAGCCCCATTGTTGAACCGAAGGGAGACCCAACCAACCAACCTATGGGAGATATTTTGCCTGGGACTGGAGACTCCCAAGGAAAGTGCGAGGGGGGGGGGGGCAGAATGGCCCTGGGTGTGTGTTGGTGTGTGTATGTGTGTGTGGGAGAGAGGGGGGGCGGTGGAAGGAAAGAGAGGGAGCAAGGGAGGAGTGAAGCATTCATAAAGACCCATCGCTCTCCCACCTCTTCCCTCCTTCTCGGGAGCGAAAAGGAATCCAGGAGAAAGAAATGTTTGATAACACGCAGTACCCTTATAACTGCTTTAATTATGATGGAGATGATTACCCAGCCTGCACTTCCGACGAAGAAAAAAGATTCACCAGACCGGCTTACAGGTAAGAGGGACTTTTTCAAGCTAGGGGTGCATAATTTTGGAGCCTGGGAAAATATTTCCTTCCTTCCTTTTTTTTCTTTCTTTTTTCCTCCCTCCCTCCCTCCTCCTACTTTTTTCTTTCTTTCTTCTTTTTTCTTTCCTTCCTTCCTTCTCTTTCTTTCTTTTTTCTTTCCTTCCTTCCTTCTTTCTTTCTTTCTTTCTTCTCATTCTTTCTTTTTCCTCCCTCTTTCTTTCTTTCTTTCTTCTCTCTCTTTCTTCCACTGCCCTTCATAAAGATTGTCTTTCATTTTTCCTCCCTCCCTCTGCCTACTTCTTTATTTCTTTCTTTCCCTCTCTCTTTCTTTCTTTCTTTCTTCTTTCTTTCTTTCTTCTCTTTCTTTTTTCCTTTCCCCCTGCCTCCCTGTTTCTTTTCTTTCTTTCTTCTTTCTTTCTTTCCTTCCTTCTTTCTCTTTCTTTCCCCTTCTTTTTATTTCTTTTTTCTCCCTCCCTCCTCCCTTTCTTTCTTTCTTTCTTTCTTTCTTCCACTGCCCTTCATAAAGATCTTTCTTTTTTCCTCCCTCCCTCCTTCTTCCCACTTCTTTCTTTCTCTTTCTTTCTTTTTTCTCTTTNCTCCTTGCCAAGTTCTGCAGAGATCGGCCTGGCAGCTCTCCAAGCCAGATAAGGTCTGTGACTATAAATCCTCCCTTGAAAGACTTTGCTGTAGGCAAATGAGAGGAATTCACAGTCACTTAATAAAAGGGGGTTTTGTCGGGACCAGGAGTTTGCTTCATGCTCTTGGGAAGCCTCGGTCAGAACACCAGTTGATGTAAATGGTATGTAGGGAGGATCTTGGGAGACAGGAAGGAAGAACCACAGACAAGACCATGGTTAGATAAGAGGCAGCTGAGCCCTCAGAAGGAAAGGGAAGTGGTAAACATCTCTGAAAAAACCCTTTCTAGTAGGTTCTTGGACTGTAGAGATGGGGGGGGGGGAATGTACAGTACTTTTAGATTTGCAAGATTCTATTAATGCGTAGTTACACAGCTACTACTCCTGGGTGTGCTTACCCCCTGGACTACCTCACAAGGCAGGCAATTATAAAATTAAACCTTTAAACTAATAAGTTAGAGAGGTCCCTTTGAAAGGCTCCCTCTTTGGATGAAGGCCATTTCCTATCTCTTTGGATTCCTTCTCTCTAGCTAGAGGCGGAAGGGTAAAAAATTGCACCCTCTCTGGGTATTTTTTTCAGGGATGTTGATGTGCTCTTTAGCCTTATGCCCACCCATGGAAAAGACCTTGGTTTCAATGAGGCTGCAGCTCCTCCTAGTGATTAACCTGGAAGATCGTTGGCTCGAGATGTTTAGTCTCCCATCTCTGGAAATGGATTTTGGAAAATGATGAATAGAATAGGATAGGGTAGGGTAGGGTAGGGTAGGAAAGGAAAGGATAGGATATAGAAAAGAATAGAAAATAGAAAAGAATAGAAAATAGAAAGAAAATAATAAAATAGAATAGAATAGAATATAGAAAAGAATAGAAAATAGGAAGAAAAGAATAGAGAATAGAATAGAAAATAGAAAAGAGTAGAAAATAGAAAAGAATAGAAAATAGAAAGAAAATAATAGAGAATAGAATAGAATAGAAAATAGAATAGAATAGAAAATAGNGAGAGAGAGAGAGAGAGAAATAGAAAGAGAGAGGGAGGGAGGGGGAGAGAGAGGGGAGAAAGAAAGCGAGAACAAGAGAGGAAGACGATCAAAATTGTTACAGGACTGGATGCCAACACAGAGAGTTATTAGCTAATTCACCCTGTAGATCAAAGCCCACACAGGGAGCTCTCTTGCCTCCAGCTATTATGCTTTCAAAACTTTTCTCCCAAAAACCCTTTCCTCCCTGACAGTGGTTCTTCTTTGAAAGCAGCCTGCCTCCCCCCTCCCTTCAACTCTCCGTCCCCAATTTGTTTTAAACCAAGGGTGGGGCCTATACAGAATTGTCCCAAGAGTTTTTGACAATGACCCACCAGGATTTCAAGTTCTAAAGAGAGAAAGGAGAGAGGAGAGAGAGGGCAGAAGGGGGGGAGGAAAGCAAGAAAGGAAGGGAGGGAGGGAGGGAAGCAAGAAAAGAGAGAGCTAGCGAAAGGAAGAAGGAAAGAAAGAAAGAAAAGGAAATAAAGAAGAAAGAAAAGAGACACAGAGAAAGAGAGACAGAGAGAAAGAGAGAAAGAGAGAGGGAGAGAGAGAGGGAGAGAGAAAAAGAGACAGAAAGAGAGACAGAGACAGAAAGAGAGAGAGAAAGAAAGAGAGAGAAAAAGACACAGAGAGAGAAAGAGAAAGAGAGATGGAAACAGAGAGAGACAGAGAGAGAGAGACAGAGAGAGAAAGAGAGAAAGAAAGACAGAGACACAGAGAGAGACAGAGACAGAGAGAAAGAGAGAGGAGGGGGAGAGAGAGAGAGGAAGGAAAGCAAGAAAAGAAGGAAGGGATGGAGGGAGGGAGGGAAGCAAGAAAAGAGAGAGCGAGAGAAAGGAAGGAAGAAAGAAAGAAAGAAAGAGAAGGAAAGAAAGAAGAAAGAAAAGAGAGAGACAGAGACTCAGAGAGACACACACAGAGAGAGACAGAGAGAGACGGGGAGAGAGAAAGAGAGAGAGACAGAGACAGAAAGAGAGAGAGAGAAAGAAAGAGACAGAGAGAGAGAGAAAGAGAGACGGAAACAGAGAGAGAAAGAGAGAGAGAGAAAGAGAGATGGAAACAGAGAGAGACAGAGAGAAAGAGAGAAAGAGAAACAGAGATAGAAACAGAGAGAGAAAGAGAGAGAGAGAGATGGAAACAGAGAGAGACAGAGAGAAAGAGAGAAAGAGAAACAGAGATAGAAACAGAGAGAGAAAGAGAGAGAGGGAAAGAGAAATAGAAACAGAGAGAGAAAGAGAGACAGAAACAGAAAGAGACAGAGAGAGAAAGAGAGACGGAAACAGAGAGAGAAAGAGAGAGAGAGAGAAAGAGAGATGGAAACAGAGAGAGACAGAGAGAAAGAGAGAAAGAGAAACAGAGATAGAAACAGAGAGAGAAAGGGAGGGAGGGAAGGAGAAATAGAAACAGAGAGAGAAAGAGAGACAGAAACAGAAAGAGACAGAGAGAGAGAGAAAGAGAGAGGAAGGAGAGAGAAAGAGAGGCAGAGACAGAGAGAGACAGAAAGACAGAGAGAGAGAGAGAGAGAGAGAGAGAGAGAG